GGGGGGGGTTGGGGTTTGTCGTCCCTGTCTGTTGTGTCGCATGTTGCGGTGGATGCATGGGTGGATGCAGATGTGTGTGTTCGACGGGGCTCCGAATCCGTGGAAGGCCAAGTTCGTCCCCTCTAGTGCTGAGTGGAATACGTCCCACAATTCGCCATCGTCATCATGAATCATTCCCGAAGTCTCCCAAAAGCTCAAAGGCAGATGGTCACCTGAAGACAGGTTGCGACTCGGCATTTATACACATCCTACCAATCCAACAGAGTAGAATACCTGTCTGCAGTGCCCATAACCAGTTTTATCCCCTGGGGTGCCCATAACAGTTGAAAGTCCTTACTGATTCGGTGGAATAGGAGTCGACTGCAAGAACACAAATTTGGAAGCACTTTCGCCTTCACTTACATCGCCAACAATTCGTTGCCTCCTCTCGCGAAACTCGTGCCCGTTGACGCAGCATTAGTTCGTGGGAGGTGCCATCCATCCGAATGTGTTGGGGCATCACATACCTCCTCCGTGTTTGGGAGTGAACCTGACTCGTTCGACATAATCAGGTCCGAGAACCATACTCTCATTCGCCCACGTCCTGATCTGCTCATGGTGTGAAGGAGCAAAGTAATGCCCCTTTCCAACCCAGACGGGATCGCCGAGCGGCGTCAGGATTAGTCCAATGTTCGGCCACATAAGGCCGGGTTCAGGTCCTCCTGCAAAGATGTAGCCAGCTGACAATTCTTCAAGGTTGCCTCCAACAGTCACTTTAGCGCGGGGGTAGGCAGATGGGAGGGTCCTGACCAGAACAGGTGCAAAGCCAGGCTGACAGAGCTCAGAGGACATATCACCTGCATGAACAGTTGGGGATGTAGTACTCGCTCTTTATAGCTGTAGACTCCTTTTCGTCACAGTCGATGTCGTTGTGGTCGCCACCGTCCACTTTTCTCTTTCCCTCATGAATAGCAGAGATGCCTGACAGCCAATCGACATCTTGAGCCTTTCTGAAGAGTTCCAGTGTCTCGGGTGAAGAAGGCTCGTCAATGGCATTCTTTTGCGTCTTCGCCCCTTTGTATGTATCCATCTTGTTCCACGACATGGTAAAGCACCACGAGGAGGAAGGCAAGGAGTATTCCCCTTGACTTTGAATTCCTTTCTCTACTGTCACTCGAACAGACTCACCAGGTGTGAAAGGGGCGTCTGGCGTGAAATACACAGTTCGGCCGTCGCTCAGAAGCTTCGTGTTTCCCGTGTGGTTGCCGGAGGCGTCGCCTTGCACACTTATCTTGTCCTTGATGCTGCCTTTATCCACCTTGTCCTTCGGCCTGAAGGCAATTCATGTGTACGGAGAGACGAGGACGGCGTTCGAGAGGGGATGAGCATAGACAAAGGGCGTCTCCCTCCTCAGAGCCTCCAGGTCGACAGAGGGCTCGAGGGTGTTCTTCGGGTCGTCTGCGTCTCTGAGGTTCGGCGGTCCCGCCCTGGGGTCGATGCCAGCGGCTTTGAGAGACCGAAGCAGCTGTTGCGCGTTCCGATCTGCCACCTCTTCGTCACTGATAGCGTGGCAATGTCGCACGACGTGTGTCGCACGCCCCTCTCAAATACAATAAAGACACACAGGCCATTGGGGTTCAATTCGGAACTGTTCGGAGAGGGAGAAGCAATTTGTTATAGGGGTCAGAGCGCCCACGACTGACCCCACGACCGATGCGGTAAATATCCATGAAATTTCCCTCCTCCTGGCGGGACTCGCTCGCGTTCGCGAAACGAAATGCATGCAAAGCCCCCAAGCTCGCATGCAAGCCCCCACAAGGGAACCGAAGGAAGTGCTAGCTTGGCCCCAATTACGGACGGACAAACACTTTGTTTCGTATGAAATTTCCCTCCTCCGTCGGGCTGGCGGGACTCGCTCGCGTTCGCGAAAGAAATGCATGCAAAGCCCCCAAGCTCGCATGCAAGCTCCAAAAGGGAACCGAAGGAAGTGCTAGCTTGGCCCCAATATATATATCACGGACGGAGGAATTGTTTCGTAAGAGCGTGCCACGCTCGCTAAAAGCTCGCGAGTCCCGAAAGAGCGTGCCGCGCTCCGACAAAGCTCGCGAGTCCCGAAAGGTGTCATTGTGATTCGCAAAAATGACTCGCCGGCGGGTGGAACGACTGACTTCTCATGATAAAACAGTCTTCTTGCCAGCGTCAGGCAAGCCTTGAGTGGTTTTACAGGCACGAATACATACTATTGCAAGACGGCCAGAAAGCACTCTCGACAAACATGTGGATATTCGTTGCCAGGCATTTTCGTGTGCTCTCCGTCTGGCCGATCGCCTCCCATTACTCGGGGGCCCCTCCCCCCTCGTGACAGTTCGTTTGCGTGGGGTCCCATCGATTAAGATGTCAAGCACTCTCGTTCTGCTGTGTATCTTCTGTATACAATGGCGTCAGGGCGGCGCCATCACTGATGGAGAAGCGGCCCAACGCAATACTGAACAAGTGCTACAGGCACTTAGAGCCATAGGTGTCGACCCCAAGAGAGGACCACCGCAGCTCAGAGCCGAAGACGACCCGAAGAATATTCCCAAGCCCTCTGTCAACCTACAGGCGTTGAGGAAGGAGACTCCCTTTGTCTATGCACATCCGCTTCCTGGTGCCATTCTCGTGTCTCCTCTGACGAGCATCGCTTTTCGGCCGGCGGACAAAGTGGACAGAGACAGCATTCAAAAAAAAATACTTGTCCGAGGTGATGTCTCGGGCAATCATGATGGAGAGACGCGGTTGCTGAGTGACCACCGAACCGTCTATTTCGTACCCGACGTGGCCTTCATGCCTGGCGAGTCTGTTAGCGTAATGGTAGAGAAGGGAATCATGACTGAAGATGGAGATTCACTCCCTCCCTCCTCGTGGAGCTTCAACATGTCATGGAGAGGCTTGGACACTTACCGCCGAGATGCAGGGATCAAAGTGCCAGAAAGCTCCATCAGTGAGGCTTCTTCGCCCGAGACGCTGCGTCTGTTTAGAAAAGCAGAGGCTTCTTCGCCCGAGACGCTGCGTCTGTTTAGAAAAGCTGAAGATATCGACTGGTTATTGGGCATCCCTGGTGTTGGTCAGCGAGAAACTGAGGCAGACGATATGGACGAGGTCAACGACATCGATTGTGGTGAACCGGAGCCTTCAGATGATGAGAGACAGTTCTACGCTCCCAGCTGCTTGTACAGGCAAGATGAGTGATTCATTCAGGGTTATCCGTGGTCTGCTTCCTTAGTTTCATTCCGCTGCGTCCCCTTCAGGACTCTTCCTTCGAACTACCCCCGTGCGCGAGTGACTCTTCAAGGCAACCTCACAGAATTGTCAGATGGCTACGTATTCACACTAGGACCGGAACCTGGGGGCCAAAAGCCTGTTTTTCACATCATCATGACAGCGCGGGGCGATCCAGTCTACTATGATCGAAGCAGCGATCACCTCGAGCCTACGCACAACGGGCAGCTTACGCGGTGGTAGTCGGGACTACGCACACCGAGAACGCACATCAGGACTCGAGGAGGGGCCGCGAGGATCCTCGGTCCTGATTATGCCGAGCGGGCACGATTCTTCGTCAAACACGGAGGAAGTACGGACTGTTCCTAAGGTGCCACTTAATTGGCGAAACCTGTGTCACAGGTATGAATGGACACGACTTTCAGCTCACAAAAGATGGCAACGGACTGATGTTCACGTAAGTATCGCCTTTAGTTTCTGTCCTGGCCTCGCCGTTGCATCGCCAGAAGTATTTGCCACAGTGATATTTCGTGTCCTTGCATCAGCTATGATGTCCACATATTGAAGGTTGATGATTTCCATTTGGGTGTCAAAGGAGAGAAGGGCGTGATCGGCACTGCAGTCCAGGAAATTACCCCAACAGGAGAAGTTGTGTTCGAATGGAGATCATGGGACCACCTGCCGCTCAGTCTTTGGGAGAGTGAAGGGCGCCATCCCGAAATCTGGGACCTGTTGCACTCAAATGCGATTGTAGAAGCTCACAATGGCCATATCCTGCTATCGTAAGCTCTGTCTCGTTGAAGAATGAATAAGCATGATAGCTATCTTTTCAGGATGAGGAAAATGTCGCAGATTGCAAAAATCGACAGGTTCGAGAAAGGGTCAGACGCAAGCCGTTCAAGAAGTGCATGTTGACGTGCAGAGATTCTGGTGAGGTCTTGTGGCGCCTCGGCGGGAAGGGAGGCAACTTCAGGTGAGCTCGAATGTTCAGGGAATGAAGTGCTCGTCTAGGAGCACATGTGTGTGTTTCAGAATCCTGAACGATACGAGAGGCTATTTCATCGGGCAACATGATGTGAGAGACCTCGGCAAACCAGAGGGCAAACAGCAAATCAGCATCTTTGACAACGGGGTTATCGCGGCAGACGGAAAAGCAAGGAGAGGATCACGAGGCGCTGAGTATGACTTGCATTTCGATAGCCATGGTCGTCCATTGAATGCCCGGCTGGTGAATTCATACGATACAGGCATCCTCGCATACGCGAAAGGCAGCTACAGGCGAATGCCCAATGGCAACGGTGTGTATTGTTTGGGGGTGGGTGTGAAGCAGCCGAGGGTATGGACTGCCAATCCTTTCTACATCGAGAAGGATTCCTCAGGCCGCGAATTGGTTAGAATGGAATGGGATCTGCACGTGTACCGCCACTTTCTAGAAATCTATCGAGCGATCAAGGCTCCTTGGATCGGGACCCCTGCGTGGCCGCCGACAGCTCTCTTGGATGACAATAACAAAGCGAAGACCCTTCGGCTTCATTTCTCTTGGAATGGAGCTACCAGGTTGCAAAGATGGCGGATTGTCACAGGTGATAGCGCGAAAGAGCCTTTGACATTTGTGTATGCGGAGGTCGAGAAAAGGCAGTTCAAGCACTGGGTGAATATACAGGAGGGAATGGAGAAATGCCGGTACTTCCAGGCCATCGCTCTTGATGATGAGGGAGAGGAATTGAGCCGATCGCCTGTAGTTAAGACAACGCCATGTATGTAATTGGGCTTTAGGAGACAGGCACCTGGATGCCTCAACACAGTTGGAAGACTCGATTCGAGGGTATATGGAGTGATGATATCCTCTGAGCCTGAAGGAAAGATTGTGTGTGCGTGGTCGGTGGTGTCACTGGAAGATACGCCAGGTGGGCGCGGATGATGGTGCTGGCATGTTTGTCGCGTGATTGACAGTCGGTCGATTCTCACAAATCATTTCATGAGACATCGTCGGACTCTGGCTGCCGTTGCCCTCTGTGTCAATGCATCTTCCCCGCCCTGGCAATGATACATTTCCAAATTATGCGTGCAATGCAGGACAATAGAATGCAGGCAAAGCGCAGGACACAAATGTACGCACACACGATGTGTAATACTAAGTTTCGTGTCGCCATCGGCTTTTTGTCCGCCTGGACGGGGTCCACGCCATGCGTTTCTTTTGCGTCATGTACCTCCATGCCTCATCGCCCATGTTTGACGCCGGTTCCTTGTTCGGTTCGAGCTCTGCTAGGACACGACCAGAGACTGCAAGAAAATGCATGTCGCACACTGCAAAGAAGCGCAAGGCATGCAGCCCAGCACACACAGCATCCAGATCCAGCGAGCCAACTCACATCCCCGGAGCGGGGCTGGTGCGTGGCCTGTAGGGCCCGCGGCTGACGAAGTCCTCGGGCAAACGCGCTGGCCCTCCGTTGCCCACTGGCGGCCGTAGGGCGTTGTGCACGACTCGCCACCTGGAACGCCTTCCAATGTGCTTCACCAGCTCGACGGACAGAAGCTGGCTCCAATGGTTGACAACGCTCTCTTGGAAAGCTGCGTCCTCCTCTGTGGGAATGGAGGTGGGGCGGGGCTTCCGCTTGGCGAGCACCTTGAGAATCCATCGCCTTCTGCCCATCTGCCGAGTGTCTCCGCAGCGAGAGGCACAAAGCGGAGGCCGGCTGCCTGGGCGGTCGGACCATACTTGTCGATCTTGTCCTTCTCCGCAGGCTGAGCAGTCTTGCCACCTGGAAGTTGTGCGCTGCGCCGGATGACTGTCCGGTGGAAGGGGATGGGGGAGTCGTCAGGCCGGCAGTGGTGGGCGATGGTGACATCGAGCAAGTGGTTACTGCCGTCGATCACACAATAGATGTCCATCCACTGGCTGTTGGGTCGTCGTCGGGTGGCGTGACGCCGAGGCTGTGCACAAAAGGAGCAAACAAGCCAGACAGATTGTTGTCTCGTGAGTCGCTACCGGCCGGTGTGACACACGCAGTAGTGATCGCCAAACTCTTTTGTCGTCCCACGTGTCAAGTGGCGGGTCTCTTTTGCACGCTTAGGAAGAAATACATTTGTCAGATCTATTGTTGCGCTTGAAGCCGGCGCCAAAAGCATTAGGGCCGCGACAGTGTTGCGCCCTGCCTCTGGTTGTGACCGGGGAAGGGGGAAGATTGAGACAAACAGAAGTCCACGTGTGTGAAAAAGGCATGTGTATGCCCTTGGCTTTTTCTCCTTGATCACCCAATTTGGGTGCTTCGCCATTATCGATGGTCAAGAAGTCTGGCTTTCGACATTCAAAACTGTCGAACGTGCGATTTGTGCAAGCACCCTATGTATAAGCGATGTCCTATCGGACTGATGAAAATGAATCGCTGAATACTTCCGCAATGGTACACCGATCAGCCCCGATCAATGAAAGCTAGAATGTCTCTGGTCTTTACCAATACATGAAGAACACCGTTGTACGCGACCTACAACACAACACGCAGATACCATGGGCAGGCAAATCACTATCTTCTCTTCCACACCTCGCGCCCGAGGTGATCGCCGTAGGCTGTGAATATTACGCGGTCTCCGGCCACGACTTGGCCAGCCCTACTGGTTCCTGTGGGTGTAGCAACCACTGTGCCTGTCACTGGCGCGTTGTTCTTCTGCATCTGAGGGAAAAAATTGCGAATAGCATAGTATCCTTTGCTCTCTTCTCCTCACCTCCTTCGGCAACAGGACGCACGGCGGGTGAGACCATTCAAGCCTTTCGGTCGGTTCGGTAGAAGGACAAGTCCCCTACGTGACTCACAAGGGATTTCGGTTCGGTGCGGATCTCAGGTAGGTCCCGGTGGACAAGCGCCAGGGAAAGCCCGTGATGAGATGTTCTTCGGTATTGGTGCTTAGATCTGCAGACAGAGACAAACACACAGCCATTGAGGGTCCCCAGATGCCTTGATGCCTCACAGAAGGCTGTCTCCAGGAAATCGACAGGCTTTTTTCCCTTACTTCAGCCGCATCAGTCTCTCTCATCCTCTCTTTTCGGTACCCACCTCCTAGCGCAACGGCAGGCCGAGTCTGTCAGTCTCTCATGAAATGAACTGCAGGTTGAACCTTCCTGGTCGCTTCGGTTCGGCAGGCAACCCCGGAGGTTGGTAGCGAAAACTGCTCTCAGAGGGCCATTTCGCTTCGGCAACCCGGGAGGTTGTTTGACTCTACCTCATCCGGTCCGCCTGCTCGAGCGAAAAGCCATGGTTCTCCCCGCTCCAGTCTTCTTTTCACCTGATGAGGATGTAGCCTTGCACGGGGAGGAAAGGCTGAGTAAGCTTCAATCCCTCAAGGTCATGTTCTGCTCTGAATTCATCAGGCGCAAGGTATGGCGGACACCCACAAGCCGAAGGGCCCAGTGGGGTGCCGTCATAAATGCTGCGTCCACAAGAATCCATAGATGAGCAAAGAAACATGCCGAGGCAAGCTGTGCGCGGTGCACGACCCTCCCAGTGGATGGGGCGATTGCGCGTTTGACGGAGAATGCGGATGTGTCAAAAAAGAAAAACGTCGTTCACACCATCCATGCGATGAATTAAAGATACACATATAATTGCATGCATGTCCTTCTCCCTTTTGTAGCTGTGTGTGTGTGTGTGTCTGTGCGCGGATGTGTCTGTGCGCGGATGTGTCATGATAGGTAGGAACACTAACAGGCACACAGGTAAGGACAAGACGCACAGCACAAATCATGAAGTGGGGGGAAGGGCGGATAATGAGGGGGACAGACAAACAGCGCAGATCAACAAACAAGTGATTTACCGCTAAATGTCGAAAAATGACCGGTGAGAAGACTATGTCGAGCCTATTGGCACGATAGCTAGCCCATTGGCCCACGCTCTCCAGGTGCTTGCCCAGAGTCGTGACGAAACCAGCCCATCGTTGGACGGTTTCCTGGTCGTGTCTTTGTCCTTTGTGTCGATGGCGGCTCCGAACTTCGCAGACACAGAAGAGAGAGGCGTTGTTGTGTGCGAGATGTGTGTGTGGGTGGGTGGGTGGCGTGTGTATACACATGGTACCTTACCTGATGTCGATTCGCGCTGACGACCCTGACCACTGAGGCCACGGCTTTTTCACCGTCGTTGGTGACGGCAAACCTGATGCACGTAGAGATCTCATGCAAGCGACATCAGCGACGCACACAGCCAGATGGTCGTCATGTGGAAGGCACGATGCCGAACTTCGCAGACACAGAAGAGAGAGGCGTTGTTGTGTGCGAGATGTGTGTGTGGGTGGGTGGGTGGCGTGTGTATACACATGGTACCTTACCTGATGTCGATTCGCGCTGACGACCCTGACCACTGAGGCCACGGCTTTTTCACCGTCGTTGGTGACGGCAAACCTGATGCACGTAGAGATCTCATGCAAGCGACATCAGCGACGCACACAGCCAGATGGTCGTCATGTGGAAGGCACGATGCCTCTCTGTTTGCCCTTGTTTACCTGGCTTTGCCATTCTTTGCCATCGGGCAAGCGAGTGGGGCCGTTTACCATAAGCCTTCTTAACTTGGAGTGTGCAGCCACTTGAGGGTGTTCTTATAGTGCGCAGCCACCTGACGGTGCTCTTATCTCAGGAAGTTACGACCGAAGTCGCCTGATTCTTATGTAATGGTAGGAGAGGAGGGGCGATGGTGGATGTATTACCTGCAGCAGACAGGCACGCACAAAGCACCACACGCATGGGATGGATGAAAGCCTTCTTAAGTCCTGCCTACCATTGTCTTTTGCTTAGACGTATGGTGGTCGTTCGGGCGACAAATCGTGTCTTCACGACCAGGCAAAGATCGATTGCCTGACTGACCAGCCACAGACAGACAGACAGACAGAAAAGGAGAGTGAGGGAGGGTGCTGTGTTTATGCATGTGTGTGTGTGTGTGTTCGCGTGTGACGGCACACCTGATGCACGTAGAGATCTCATGCAAGCGACAACAGCGACGCACACAGCCAGATGGTCGTCATGTGGAAGCCACCATGTGGATTTGCCATCGGGCAGGCGAGTGGGACTTTGTACGAGGAAGAGAGAGGTCGACCACACAGGCCGTCTGGCTCATCTGGCTCGTCGCCTGTGTCAAAACCACGCCGCAAAACTCTCCTACTTGCGAGCTTAAAGGCGACCTCTCGATGGAACCCCCGCGAACGCGGGTCGACGAACGGGTACGAGGGGGTGGGAACCCCCTCGTAACGGAAGGCGATCGGAAAGGGACACCTTACAAAATGTCGCGGAACGAAAGGGTCCACACTAACTTCTAATTAGCTCGCATAGCTCGCACCGGTCGAGCCCTTCTCTCGAAAAGCCAGATGGGTAGCATCGTGTGAGGCGATTTGGCGGCCATTCTGAAGACCTGGGGAAGCCGAATGAAGAGGTGCTTGCTCCGTGAATTACGATGCTGGCCGAGAAACCAAGAATCGGCTGCACTTGTGTACGTGACTGAAGAGAGGGCGTAGACAGGAAAGGGAGGTGGCAATTTGGACGACGCAGTGTCGCCCCCTCCCCCTTGAATGGGGGAGGGGGCTCATTCAAGGGGGAGGGGGCTGCAAAAGGTCAGCTTCCATGAGCCAATGGTCAGAAGCAGAAGAGAGCGCGTCGACCACGGATGGATTGAAGGTGATGATGGCCGTCACGTTGGATTCCGGCACACAGATCTACTCGTTTGAGCGCTCGTGTGTTTGTCTGGCAGGCCTGTTGATGTTTCGTTTGGCCGCATTGCCGCCTTCTCTACTGCACGGTGAGCTGATGGCCGTCACGTTGGATTCCGGCACACAGATCTACTCGTTTGAGCGCTCGTGTGTTTGTCTGGCAGGCGTGTTGATGTTTCGTTTGGCCGCATTGCCGCCTTCTCTACTGCACGGTGAGCTGGTGGCCGCGACGCAGTACTTCAGCTTATACACGTATGCTCCCACATGTGTCCCACATGTGTGCTCCGGTATGCGGGTCTCCTCGCATTCATGTGTCTGCGCCATTGATCCGTGTATCCATAGCATCTGAACACAAAGCTTTTGTCGTGTCCATGATTGTGTGTGTCCTTGCGTGTTTTATTGTTAATTACCACGTCGACGGAAGGGAATGCAGTGAGTGTCTATACAGCGTAAAGACATATTGAGCCGGTCAGGTAAATATGGGTCAGAAGGTAGAAGTGCGAGAGATGTCTGACTATGCTAAAGGTCTGTTGGAGCTGGTCCGCCGCTCCTCGCCCTTCCTTATGTCGCACCACTAGCGGTGGGATACCGATGGTGTAGAATTCATATTGTGTCTTTCTTGGCCGTTCCTCCCTCTATCCCAGTCTGTCTCCCTTCATGCTTCTCTTCCCACATCCCTTCCAATGGCCTTTGGTGTCGCGCACGTCCCAAGTGAGGTCTTTTTTGCAGACCTATCCCTCTTACGATTAATGATGGGGGGGAGGGGGAAGATTGAGACAAATAGAAGCTCTCGTGTGTGGAAAAACCCTCAAAGCATGAGAAACCCCATGCGTTTCTCCTCGATGCATGCACGAGGTTTTCTCTTTCCGAAAAGAGATCTGGGCGACCCGTCATGTAGCTCAGTATCAGCACACGAAGTTTCAGCTTTCCAAGAGGGCATTTTCATCAAGTCCGTTACGCCATCCGCCATATGCGATTCGCGGACGACGGAGAAAAACTAGCCTAGAGCACTCCCCCAGCTGGTGCTTTTGGGGGGTCGTGAATATGGTCGGTTACCTACGGACCTAGAATTTTGAGCTTGCAGCAGACGTCCGTTTTCTCCACTGGAAGGCCACGTCACTCCGTGCAGACCCCAGGAAACACCGGGGCCTCTATGTCTGTCGCCGACTATGTGTCGCTCGGCTGTGGTGTGGTGACACCCCCACCACCAAATTTTTCCCGACGTGTCTCTGCGTTATCATGACGGACCAATGAGTGATTGACCTGGATATATCAATGCATTCGTTGCGTTGGTATTGGCTCTTTCACCTCATCGTGTCTCGATGTCCCAACGCATACGTACGTCTGCCTTCGCGGCTGTCTCTCATCTGAACAAGTGCTTATCTACTTGGCAAATCAAGAGGGTGGCCCGACGGGCACCTCTGACGACGCGCTCTCTGATGCGCCAGCACCACTGCTGCTCGCCTCGGTGGATGGCTGCTGAGCCTCCTCCGTCGCGCCACCCGTCACCTCCCTCGATGCCGTCTTGACATCGGCCTTCTCGGCCTCTGAGCCGCCCTTGTCGGGTGTGTCGGCAATCTCAGGCCCACCACACGATGAACAAGACCTGAGAGGCAGAAGCACACACAGCACAGGGAGAAATCTCGTGCTGTTCGTGTGTCTTCGTGACTGCCTTGGCGTACCTGACGAGCGTCTGAGCAAGACGCGACACCCAGGAGCGACTGGACAGTCGCCAGCAAATGCTTGGAGGCGGCTGAATTCTCTGCTTGTCTGCATAACTGTAACCCATATATCTGCAGCTCTGCCCCTCATGCCCCGTCATCCTCGAATTCGGTGCATGTATGTGCTGCATGTTGCCTGCTTGTGGCTGTCTGACTGACTGGCTGGAGGTAGAATGGATGGAAATCGATGGAAAAGGAAGGATTCGTTTATCGATGTACAGTTAGTGTCGCCCATCTGTGGGTTTACTTTGTCGATTGGTACTGGTTTGCGCCTGCGAGCGCTCGTTGAAAGGCGAACTGACTGTCTGAAGAGCCGTCTGAGACACGGCTTGTTTGCTTTGATTGGGGTTTACAAGCGAAAGGGAAGGTGCTTTGATTACTTTTGGAAAGGTCTATGTACTTACTTCACGAAAGAAAGGCCGAACAAGGGAAGACAAGAGAGCGCAGGCCAGGAAGGAAGGCTGGCCGTGGCTGAGTTTCTCGTTTACATGCAACCGCTGCATGCAACCGCTGTTTGTAAAGCATGGCGCTAGTTGTACAGGGTGCGTACATAACGCCATAACGCCGTACGGGCATTGTAGGAGCGAGGCCATTTTTCGAAGCCTTCAATGCTCACATCCCTCCTTCGAGTTTCTCTTTGTCGTTTGTCTTCGTCGATATTCCTTTCCTTCCTTCCCTCCCCCCCCCGTTGTCTTGTGCTCTGACGGACAAAGAGACTCGTTCCCGTATCGGGTTGAAGTGCTGAGTGTGTTGTCTTCGGCGTGTGATTGCTTGGAGACTCCCTCCGCAGAGCTGCCCTTTGCTGCCTCATTCCCTTTGAGTCGTTTGCTTTGCTTGTGCTTCGGCGCCTGGCGGACGACGATAAGGAGCCCAGGTATGACATACACAGATTGTGCTTGTGTGGCGTGGTGTGTCTGTGTCAGCGCGGAGACGTGTGCGAAATGCTGCCTGGGGTAGATGGATGTCGTCTGAGCGGGAGGCGGACCTCACGGATCCGGGACTTACTTGCCTGAGTCTTGCCGTTGATACGGGTTCCTTCGGGGACGCCGCCGGTGGCTTCGTAAGTGCAAGGGTACCCTCGTGGGGAGAAGAGTCGCCTCGCAGAAGGCAATCCTTTGAAAGGGCTGTGAGGATCTCTGTTGAGTGGAGCTTTCCTTTGCGCTCCGTTCCCTCTGTGGTCGTCTGTGCGGTGCACCCAAGAGGGCCTTGACACCTCGTGAGGGCCGATGCCGAGGAGGAACTTGGGTCGGGGCTCTTCATGGCCGACCAAGAGATGAGTGGCGAGGACTGCTCTAGTGGAGGGAGCGCCTCTGAGCCGTGGTCTGGTCTGCTGTTGTAATGAAGTGATGCGCAGAGACGCATGGTCGGCGGCCTTGAGAGGATCTTGGCTGGCCGTCATGTCGTTCGCGCTGGGACTGATGCCGCCTGCATCTTTTCCCCCATTCGCAACGTTCCTGCAACGCTCTCGGGTGGCCTGATGAGGATGAGACGCGTCTCCTCTCAGCCCAACTCGTTTCGTCGGCTTCATGCCCACGCATTGGCGCAGCTCTCTCTGGTGTCTCACTTTCTAGCTGAGACTCAGCCCTCCCGTTGCGTACGGAATGAGTGACCATGGATATTTCTATGACTGCGGCGCATGTACGCGCTCATAGTTCACCGACGGACGGACAAGCACCGACACATCGATCAAAGATGACGATGATTGTTTGGTTGCTGCGTGGATGGACAAATCCCCCGTGTCTCGGGTGATATTGATTCATTCACGTATGTCTCATTCGGTCCATGCCTCACACTCACCGACGCATCCATCTACCCCTGGCGGATGGCACACGTCTGGTGCTCATGGTGGTGATGTCAATTTGTGACAGGAGGGAGGGAGGTTGGAAGTGAAAGTCCTGACATGCATTGCCT